TGAATGGAGGGGGGTTTTAGCTAGGCGTTGCGTTTCTTGTACGTGGGGCAAGATTAAAAACTAATGAATTTTGCGGTATGTAATTCATGGGTAGCTCCTACAAATAAAAAACTCATCATGAATTGTTTTAATATGTATATGAATTCCTGATTAATCAACTTTAATTTTACAATAGCATTTAGTAGTATCATTTATAAAAAATAATTATACAATCACAAACCTGTTAAAAACACCGGTATTGAAATAAAGAATCCACCGACTGCACATACTCTACTGATGGACGATTTTCTCAAATATTTGTTAGTTCTAGTAAAAGAAAATAAAATTACATTAATTTTAAGAAGTAGCCTGTGGTAAATACTTATTACAGAAATAAAAAAATAATTTTTTTTATGTAAACACCATGTACATGAATACTGTTAATGTGAAATAAAAGTACAGACCGACAAAAAAGTCGATGTATAGAATGGCACACACGGAATTTAAGGATTTTTTTAATCGAAATTTAAATAGTAGTGGGTACTAATAACAGACCGTCACAAAGGTGACGAAAAGAATGTCACATATGAGATACCTACAAATTTCTCTAAATTAATGAAAATTAACTATTAAAATTACCTTTCATTTCCCCCATGTCGGCTTTTTACTAATTTAACAGCAAACAGAAATTGGATAGCACACACCAAAAGGCAGCATAAATTGAGAGATAACGTTAATGCACAAAGTGCTAAAGTAACTTCATATACAACTACATATTCTTCAGCAGTTATTAGAGTCAACTGTTCCGCTCGTAAAAGTTCTCTGATATCATTAGCAGTAACTGGTGATATTTTAAGAAGAAATATTAAAGAAAGTAAAGCTAATAGTAAGCTAACAAGGCATAACAGTCCTAGACTTATTAACAATTCTTTAACTCCAAGCTGTTTAGTTCTATATTTGGAACTATTATCACTGCTGGGATGACTATTATTGGGTTTAGTTGTTGACACTCTAGAAATATTCAGTCCTCCATTTAAAGTTTTGTTTTCAGTTGTAACAAATGAATTTCCGATTATGGAATGTTTAGAAGCATCTACGTTTGAAACGTGTGACAACTGAGAAGCATTAAGGGGATAATGTACCCTTAAACCGTTAGTAGCAGGTGAACGAAATCTTTGATTGCTGCGGTCATACCGCGGTTCCATAACGATGGAGTTATCTTGCCGGGTGGCTCGGTTCCCCACATTGCCATTTGTATTTAGCATATGCTTTAGCATTCTGTGGGAAATGGAACATTTGTTCGAAGCTTTTTTCCAAATAGCATTAAAAATCCCTTAATGTACAACTTTTACTTAAATGACTACATATTGACTCATAAACGTGTTATTTTTAAAAATGGAAAATCTGTATATTGCCGGGAATAACAATGAAGCATTATCTTCGTTTGTTAAGTGACATTTTCATTTCATAAATATACTTCAGCACTTTCTTTAGTAATTAATCTGAAAAAAAAAATAAATTGTATCAATTAAATCCATCCCGAATAAAAACAACTCGTTACGCCACTGGCAATATTATAAAAATAAAATTAGATATATTATTCGGCAAACTATTAATCTTACGTTAGCATTATAAAAAATGCAAAAATTATACTTAATAACTGTTATGTATTTTATTAATATGAATACAATGCATTTAATATATAGATTTCTTTTTAAATTAAATTCTAAGACGAGTAAATTTTGCTATTATTTTTAAAATATGATGAACGTAAATATATGCATTATTATAGTATTGAAATTTAATGATATGGAGCGGTGATATTCCTTGTGATGTAAAAACGAACAAGAATTAAACGAGCACCCATGTATAATTACAAAACAATTATTTCTTCAGTGAGAAAATTCTCAAGAGCATGCCAAAATATGTAGCTGTGTTGTTGTTAAATTTATTAACAAAGTGGTCTTATATAGTTATTAATTTATAAAATGACAAACAAAACAAGGAGCCATGAAATAATTTCTTATCAATAAAATGTAATAAACATAATAGAATCTTATTAATAAGATGTTATTTAGCTATAAGATGTTATTTGGCTGAGAAAAATATTTATCCTTAGTGGATACCAATAGGTAAGTATTGTAAGAATTTATAGAAAATTTCTAATGCTCTGTAATATTGTAGCAAGTTAGAAATTCATTTTATTTCCTTTCAGGTGAACTAGCAAAAACCGTTTGTTTTGTACAGGACGAAGACAGACTGTTTACTTAACAGGTAAAATACATACGTGGCTGGAATGTAAAAAACTCAAAGAAATCCAAAAGTTTTCATTTGTTACACGATACAACACTGCAACATAATTTAAAATTTCATTTTCGTAAAATCAAATTAATCCTTAACATGTGCGTAGATAACACGAAAAGGAAGGTATCACTCTTTCGTAATAGTGTAACCGGTGCGATCTGAGTACCCACGGACGTACGGGCTACGAACAACGGGTAAAAATAATTACAAACGAACTTTCATTTGTATAGTTGAGGCTAAGACGCAATATTCGACCTTAGCGCACCGTTTGGTAACCTGCAGAACCATTCTTCAATTACTTCCGAAGAACCAAAATAAATTATCCAATGAAATAAGACCTTCAAAATATTCAAATTTTATTGGCGAAAATGCATACTCCTTGAATGCTTGTAATGCATACCTATACATGAATGAAAACTCGTATCAATATTTAATTAATTCCCATTTGGGTATTTTATGTTATTTTATATACGAAACTTTTTTTTAATTATCATATTTTAGAATGAAAGTGACTCTTTTAATTTACTTGCAATAGATACGCATATGTATAGTAAGTTACATACCATCTGAAATTTAAAACATCAAATTGTAATTAATATTGCTAAATACATGTATTATTAATAATTAATGTACATAAAACTTCATCTATAACTTAATACCGTAATTCATAATTTTTGTTGTGAAATAAATTAAAGATATGATATTAATTCTAAATAATTTCAAATACGCTTGTTAGGAATCATGATAGGTTTGAAAAACCACGAAAATCCAGTGGCGTATAGTAAGGGTTTTGTCGTGGGTGAAACAATAATAGTTTTGAAACATTAATCATATTCAATTAAAATACGACATACCTAATACATAGGCAGTTTCAAAATGATTTTTCCTTGTTATTTAACAACAAACAAATATATACATATATTATTATTTGCATCACTCTTAAATTACCTAATGTGACTAGTTTTACTATGAATAGTCCCCACAATTATTATTTTTTTTTGTAATGGCATTTGATGTTATTATTCTGATGTAGAAAAAACTGTAATAAAATATATTCATTACATAAAAAAATAATCAATAATAGTGGGCACGTCATTTCATTTTGTTAGCTTGTAACTTGTAATTTCTCAAATATTTGTTAGTTCTAG